TATACGTCCATTACGCCACAGGCCTGTATCAGGGAGAATAAATATGTAAGGGTCCTATAATGAAATGCGCTACAATTAAGAGTTTTGGCATTACTTACATGGAAATTCAGTTATGAAATATGAGTTATCTCAAGAGCATGATGATGATAAGTTCGAGGTAATTGCCAGTTGGTCTAAAATTATGTAACCCTAGCCACAACCTTCCTTCACATAAGTTTTCGAAGTACGCCAAACAGTTAAGGTTGCTGACCTTGAGCCAGTTAGGTAATCGAGATTTAAAGTTTGTTTCATCCGTCAGAAACAAAAATTTGGACTGACTTACATAACTGCGATAACGTCGCCAAGTTTCATGAATTTCTTTGTTCATATTTTAAAGCTGTTTCCAATTAATACTGTGACCCTGTTAAGTTTGCAACACTGAAAATAATCAACAGGACCAATCCAGCTAAGAGCTTTATCATTATTATAATTATCATTTAGTGTTCTGTCTGACGACAGGTCCATATGAACAGGATCCTTCCATCCTTTTCTCGGACTGGGACCTGTTCATATACGTTCTTGGCAGATGATCCAGAAGTGGTTTGCCATTGCCTTCTTCTGTGTGTGAATGGAGTAATTGTTGGGATGCCACGGAGGAAAACTCCGTGTTGCCTAGACCACGGCCTTGCCCAACACAAGTTACAAATTCGGGCACCGCTGGGAATCGAACCCGAGACCCCAGGATTACAAGGCCAGCGTTCTAACCGCTAGACCACTAGATATTTGTTACATGTTACGATTGAATAATCTACGCAAAACAATACTTTCTCTGTGATAAACATTTACGAATGCGAGTGTAACTCATTTACAATAGACAACCCGGAAGACAGCCGGCCATCCTCGGCTCGCCGCCGTGAAAACCTCAAATCCTAACCAGCAAGCCGATTCACTCTTCCTCACAATCAAGGGTATGGACAGGCGATACTTGTTTCAATGCAGAATTGAAACCAGGTCGACGTCTGTTCACTTCTCGCGACATACTTTTAACTTCTACGAAAATGACAAAGCGAAAAACCAAACATTAAGATTATTAATCTCATAGATCTGTTATGTCCACTTCTCTTCGCCGAAGATGACTGTCTTCTGGGACGTTTCGCAGTACACTCTTGCAGGCAGTAAGCACCTCTGAAACGTCGGAACATCCCAGAAGACACTCACCGTAAGAACCTGAAATCTCATAAAGTGATTGGATCAATATTAATACTTTACCACCATTAAACTAACAAATTCCATATTACTGGATGACCGGGGTTCGATCCCCTACTTGGGGAAGAGGATTTTTCCTCTAGCCTCTGCGTCCAGACGTGCTTACTAAGTAGAATATAAATGATACGAACAGATATATAGTTGAGTAACCTGGATTTATTGCTCACATGATTCTGCTTCGTCCGCTCTATGGTAAATTTTCGACGTTCCTTTAATCCCCCCAAAGTCGAAAGCGGGACTGCTTTACCTTACTTCACTTTTACTTTGAAAACAACTAACGAAAAATTATAATGAATTCCTCCACGGCTACCAGCGGTGTCAGATAATTCGAAGGCCTGACACGGCTGGTAGCCCGAGAATAATTCATCATACTCAGCTCATACACAACATGAAATATGGCCACACCTTTTTTTTATTTGTAGTGTTCTGTCTGACGACAGGTCCATAATTATGAACAGGATCCTTCCATCCTTTTCTCGGACTGGGACCTGTTCATATACGTTCTTGGCAGAGATGATCAGAAGTGGTTTGCCATTGCCTTCTTCTGTGTGTGAGTGGAGTAATTGTTGGGATGCCACGGAGAAACCGGGGAAGCCCCCGGAGGAAAACTCCGTGTTGCCTAGACCACGGCCTTGCCCAACACAAGTTATAAATTCGGGCACCACCGGGAATTGAATCCGGGACCCCAGGCTTACAAGGCTAGTGTTCTGACCGCTAGACCACCGTGGGGGAGCAATATGGACACACTAGAACAGCATAAACAGTAAGATGGACGTATGGGCCACGTGTGCACTGCAGTTGCCACGTGAAAACTGTGCAGTGACACGTGTCCATTGCTGCAATCTTTCGTTTATCCGACAGGGGGTCGGCAGTCACAGTTTGCAAACCGCTGTTCTGACTCTCTATCGGACAGAAGGGTTTTGTTGACTATCCGAAGAAACGACACCAGGATACAAGCGACCCGGTAAATCTGACCGCATTTGCGGCAACAACTTTTTGTAGGCGTTTCACTGGGAAGCCTCCTCGGAACGACGAACATCGATTGAGTCACTGAAGCGATTCATCTCGACAGATGGAAACTGATAATCGCGTTGCCTTGCCTTTCGCCAAGAGTCCGGCCCAACTGCAGACGCCCTACAGGGCCCGATCCCTTCTGGAGAAACGAGCAGCCTCGACCTACTTGCATGCCTGTACGCACTCAGCCGACACAAGATCCCAATTTTGACAACAAAACCCGAAACCCTAACACTTTTCGGCGGCGAATTCATTGTGGTACATTGACCGATTTCAAATCCCATACCCAAAATATCCTTGGCATTATTTTCCCCAGATTTTCTTCAGCGTCTTCATATACTCACTTTCGAAGACAAAAATTTTGTACGCATTCATTGTGTCCTTTATCCTCGATTGACGTCCAACTCGTAGCGGATTTATTGCCATATTTAAAAATATATAAAAATGCAGACTGAAATGTTGACTCGAAGGAATCGACAAAGAAATTCTTTAGTTTCAAGACCTCGCTTCACGACGACTCGCATGTAAACACGAAGTTGCAAAAGTAAGTGTTTACATTTCTACGTCCGACTGCAAACCAAAATATCTTCGACACTTCGTGTAGATATAACATGACAATAACAAGTGTCTTTATTAGCTACGAGGTGCGATCGGAAAGTTTCAAGACTGCGCGTATAAAAAAACCCGTACACTTATCTCATCCATCACCCTCGAAGGAGTTCCCCTGGGAGTGAACACAACGATCCCAGCGCCGCTGCCAAGCCTGGAAGCATCCCTGGAAAATTTCCGATCCCACCTCGTATATTTATATCTGTCGTTTATTTAACGGCGCTTTCAGCAGCTCAGATTACATCGTTGAATGATAGGATGATTTTTGAATGATAAATTGGAAAAGCTTCGAAATTTTAAGCACGAGCAGCGAAATTTCCATTCTTTTGCGTACCTTCTGCAGAGTCAGTAAGTAATTGTGATCCATATCGAAACTACTCGACGAATGTAAATGTAATTTAATATGCGTGTCGTCCCTACTAGTGTAACAGCAGGACGAATTCAATTTCATTGAGGTCGTCGAAAGTGTTGTTTACTCGCGGAGTGCCAGAAATAGCTTCCGTCGTGGGTACTATCTGGTCATTGTATACGAAACATACTTCAAGGGGCCGGTTTCGCAATTGAGTGTGTGCGCAGCGACCATCAGCTTTGTCAGCAAGACTACACAATAACTTCGCCTATAAATCGAGAGCAGTGACAAATGCAAAATTGCCAACAACGCACTTTTCAAACGCGCGTACTATATATGGAAGTAGGTTACGTCTCGAATCATGCATATGCCATAGGGCATTTCGTAATAAATTTAACGAGGCACGTTTTGACTTTAATGTGAAACCGGGGTTCAAGACATTTCGAAAATTACATATTAATCAAGGAAATGTGGCACGCGTGGCAGAAATACCTAACAAGTTTTGATCGGAAAGCCTGAAGAATGAAAACACTAGAAATCCTTACGTGTACATGGCAGGAAAGTGTTAAACGGATCTTCCAGAAACGTGGAGTTTGGACTGGATCCAAATGTCTTATAACAGGAAACAGTGGCAGGACAGTGAAGCGTTTGGTATCATTGAAGGCCAAGGCATCATGACCATCTGACCGACTATCAGCTTCTCAAGAAAGACTCTATTTGATGGAGATACTTAAGACTGAATTAAATTCTCCAGAGAAACTGCGCATCCCGGTAATAATTATCGTCAAAAATCCTTTAGCCATTAGACGTACAGACAGACAGCAGGCAGACAGAATAAGTTCTGGCTGTCACTTACCACCTGCCAGCTAAAGTTAGTTATTGAAGCGAATGTACGGGATCCCATTCGGAACTGAGGAAGTAGCACGGAGAGATGAAGAAACTAGTTTACTGGGAACCGGTTTCACTTGGTCCGTAGGAGCAGAAATGAAAAGGCAACGCGCATTGTATGTCAAGTCCAGTGACAGATTCATCTTAAATGAAGCTGAGACGCTCGATTTAAGACAGAGAGAGGGGCAACTACGGAATTAAATGCATCTGAAGCGAATTACACAAGATTTTTGAAAACAGGTGAGGCCAGCAGCTAGTACATGACCTGACAGATCATTTGTAATTATGTATCAGAATTTAACGACTGCATACAGCAATTCTAGAAGGCCCTTGTCTGTCGTAAGACGATCAATGTTATCAAAAGCCAAACTTCAACGATCAAATACGATTAACATTTGACAAAAGCTATACAAAATCAAAAATCGATTCTCGGCAGAAGCACCGTGCATTCTGACAGGTTATTTTCGTGGTTTTCCTCAGACCACTTATGCGAATGCCCGGGGGAGGGGGGTTCCACGACCGCCTTCTCCAAAAATACTTTTCAGTCCTCAAGTTCACAAACATTTCGCTTCGTGAGGCGCACAAGCAGTCTCTACAGTTGAAACGGAATCGTTGAAGGAAAATGCCGGACCCACAAGGAAACTTTCAGCGAAAATCGGTGATCGATCACAAATAGGAGAATCTGTTTAAGGAGGACGGACCAGAAGAAAATGGAGCGGACTCAGCATGACACAGAAGTAAAAAAAAAAAAGACTGTCACGAATTTCCCGCGTCATCCTTTCACAACGAGCATCAGAAATGCGTTGATGGGTACCAGGAAGACGGTCCAACAGCCGAGGGGAGTGGACGGGGCACTTGGAGGGGTGACATGAATAACTGACACTAATTCCGAGGTGGGAAACCATCGTTCTCCCTCGAAAGTGAGGCCTTTAGTCTCACAGTGACCGGTGCCGAGAGTGCAGGGACGAATCGCCGACCCGTTCCTGGTAAGTAAGGGCGAACTTACTCATGAGTCTGGTATATTTAACGATGACTTATCAAATACTTAGGTTATACAGCGAATGCTAAACTGTAAAGGACATGGAAACAGGTTGAGGGTGGCCAATCTGCAGACCCATTCCCAGCCCTCTCTTCAAGAGACTGAGGAAAACTATAAAAGATCTGTCATGTACTGGCTGTCAGACGTGTAATCTCTGAGTTACGTTCTTAGGTGAAACAGCGGCGTCTCGCAGGAGAATCGAGGAATAAACGCTCAGTACTGCAGGTAACAGGTGTGGGGTTTAATCGGCAAATTTATTCCCGTGTCAAGAAAATCAAATGGGTTTGAAATTGGTCTATGGGCTGTACGAGATCAGAGTTCCCTTATCGGGAGCGACAGAGATGTTTCCAGTGGCCGACCCAGATTTCTGTCCAGTGGGGAACAAGTTCTATCTCCCCGGGGCGAGAACCTAACGATTCAGCTACATTTAACGTCAAGGTTAAAAATTACTGGAGATAAAACTTCCTCTTCGTTCACGCGACGTCAAGCCGCGGTGCTTGATTAAGCACAGAAAACTTTATTTTTACCTGTATAACATAAAGTCCTTTCATTTAGCGGTCTCCACATCGATATGTAATAAAACGTTTTCCAAGTAGTATCAGATGAAGGTGAATAGTCCATTTATTATGTTTGGTGACCTGGGAAGGAAGCCGTCGTGGCCTACTTCAAGACACGATCCTGGCACTGACAATGCGTAACAAACCTCAGACCTATGGCTTGACAAGAACGTGGCTGAACATGTGTCGCGGTGAGTAGGAAGACGGCTGTCTTCTGGGTTGTTGCACCGTGTAGTCCGGTAGATTTCCACCAGACTACACGGCGCAACAACCCAGAAGACAGCAATTTTCAGACTCACCGCGGTGAAAACCTCAAATCCTACATACGACAAGTACCTGGTAGCTCGGGGCCTGTTTAAAGAAACATTCGGCCCGTGAGCTGGTTTCGAATTTGATACCCCTAGAACGATGGTCAGGCGCGTTGCAGTTCTGCAAGACGTTTTCCGGAGAATTTTTGTTGGATTGGAACGGGGTTTAACGAACAAGGTGAAAGCTGTTTGTGCCGTGTTTTCCAACATTCCTGGGGATTGGGGGTAGTTCCCCCGTTATTCAGCCTTGCAGTGAAAGTACTTCAGGTCCCAGGAGCGCGACAGACCCAGACGTCTCGCCTTGTTTCTGCCGATTCCAAAAACCGACGAGCACCCGAGGAGGATTAACCAGTCACTAGGCGACGGGATGGACAACCGGGGTTCGATTCCCTACAGGGTAGTATTTCTCTCCTCGACACAAAGTGCAGTCCGGCTCTGTGACCCACCAGCCTCTTATCCCGGTGTTACTTCCTGGATGTCAACGCACCCGAGACGTAAAGCTGGTCACTTACCGTCATCTGGTACCGATATTAGAAATGAGTGGAACTGTCGGTCTGCATGGCGCGGCCTTCTGTTTAAATTTACCAAGTGCAAAGGTCAATTGACCAGGCGACAGAACAAGTGAACGGACTTTGTGCGACATAAACTCCGATCCAGATGGCAGTGCGGACTATTATAAATGGCACGAACGCTGTGGTTTAGGATTCAAATTCTGCTCGGGAATAATAAACTAAACAGGCAGTCAAATTAAATTATATATTTTATATCCCGTAAGACAGCATCAGAAACTGGGCACGTCTTTGTATTCTTTGAATAGATCAGAAGCGACGTGCATCACTTATAATTTTGCGTGAATGTACTGTACGCATTTACGCGAGCATGTATGTGACCTACATTTGGTCATAATATTTCGAAACTGCAATGAAACAGTTGCAAATTATAGTTTTTGCATATGTCATAAAACGTAAGATTCAGACGTCATAACACATCTCTCCTGGTTTAGTAATTCGATATCCCCCCCCTCTTCCTACGCGAAAATTCACATGCAAAACTGCCCCTTTGCCTCCAAACGTCCAGCGCCTGCTCAGATCGTGACAGAAAGAAACGCATTGGGTCACACTCGCCTGTTCAGTGTCCGGAGTCGAAGCCGCGTACGTCGAGGAACGTCCAGAGATTTCTTCCACCGCGAATGATTATGTTATCATACTCGATCTGTTCAACGAAGCTCGCCTACAAAATATCGTTACATTCAACAAATTCAGCGAGTGGAATTTTAAAATTTACTCGCATTTCGTATCACACGAGATATATTTCATTTCATGTTTCGACATGTAACTTCCTTTCTTCATGGAGAAGAGTCATACTTCAGAAGCTGACTGTCACGTAGTCAATAAATTTCCAGGATGTTTTAAAACCACGAATATTTATTACCACGTTCACAAAAGCCCGTAATCTGAGCCAGATTAAAGCAATTTACAACCTTAATTTTTTTTATATAAAATTCATTTTAATATTATCCTCTATTCCCACCTGTTTTATATATGAAAAACACCTACATTGCCTCTCTCCAATGGAGATCGTGCAATTACTCTTTAGCCACAGAACTATAAATACGTACATATATTTATTGTTGAAATGAAGTGAGATCGTCGAGCTTTGTGTGATAAAAAAATGTCCGTTCCGCAATGAATTCCATCCGTCACAGCTGCAGCGACAGAAAAGTTTGTCGCCGCAGGAGCTCGCCTGCTGGTGTGTAAGCAGGCAGCCCGTCCACCTACTTGCGAACAAATGAACTGAAAAACAGGAACGCATTTCAGAATTCAAACACGAGACGTACGCTAATGAGATTCACGATAAACTGGACAGTGGATAATTTCTAAAGCTAACGCCTATCATTTATGTAAAAATGGCGTTACATATATAATTACATGTAATAACAGAAAAACGAGAATCAAACATTTGAAAGCTGACAGGGAAAGAAAATATTTGGAAGTAAGAAGAATGAAACAAATTTGTAATTGGGGCTACAACACGATCAAAAAGTTCTTGTTCCAAACCTTGTACATAAATCGAGCAGGATAAGATCAGTGGGGCATGTAGCACGCACAGAAAACATGGGAATGCAATTACGACTTGAAATCAGAACCTAAGAGCCCACTCAGGATACATGGGCGTAGATGGGAGGATAATATTAAAAATTACCCTAAAGAAATAAGGCATTTAGGTTTGGACTAGATTCACGTGGTCCTGGACAGAGTCCACGCGCGGTTTATTTTAACACGGTAATGAACCTTCCGTCTCCATGAAAGGCGGGGAATTTCTTTTCCAAGTTTGTCTGTGTCTGGGTCGGAGAGTGGGTAATTTATGAATGCGCTCTGGATTAATTTGTACACAAAATGTATTACTGGGCCTCAAATCGCATTCGTCGACCGAATATATTTTTTACCAACAAATACTGCAGCTTTCATTAGAAATAAAATTGATTTAAAAAAATAAAAACCAAATTTAAAAAAAAATCGACGCGCATGACATGCGTTCTCTTAAGAATTGTCTGCTTCCAAGATAAACACCCCCCAAAAAATAAAGTTAAAGCTGACTGCAAATATCTTCTTGGCGTAACAGGTTCTCGGCAGACCGCAAATTCGCCACAAAATTGCAACTTCGAGCTGTAGCGTGTGTGCCAATTTCTGAACAAAAAAAAGTAAGCCCTGATGCCGAGCCCTAAATTTGACAACAAAACGGTTTCTCGCTGCTTGCAGCAGCTAGCCACTCGTTCGCCTCATTGTGGTATCGCCAACTCCGCTATGTGACCGGCACAAAACTCTACTTACTTTACATTAAATCACCTTCCTACGCGTTCCGTCGTCGGTCCAGTTGCTTCTTTAACATTTCACCTTGAAACATTTTACTTAATATTTCCCGTCCAAACATGAAAAACAGTGACATAGATTTTGTGTCACGTTCAGATAGTGTTACGATGCAGGGCCAATGCAGATCAATTTCTGTCGAAAGTGTTTATAAAAAACTCGTCCATCCTCGAGACATTATCGAAATATCTCAACATTAAATATCCGGGGCTGAAGTAGGCAGCAGCATATGCACTGAATGCAAGAAAGGCACAAAGTTCATTATTTCCTCCGTTTGTAATACCAGTCCTCTTCTTCCAGACGATCGAAGGTATCCGCCATGGCGGGATTAATGCATCTGGTGGTCCACAACTACAATGAGCTTCTGGAATCCAAGAAAGGTAAGCCAACAGTCACATGTATTGTTTCGTACCAATGGAGCGACTAAAGAAAACAACGAACTTGCAATCGGTTCTTAACCGTATGAAGTAGAAACTCGTCTAAATAGTTTTTTATAAGAATTCAGTCCGTACCGCGAAGAAAACACCACACTTGACCATTACGAAGATCAACTGGTTAACGCTGTTTAAGGAAATAATCGCTGTTTGCACCTAACTAACTCCCTGGTAGGAGAACCCGCAGGTCCAACACCGGACACGATCCGGAACCAACTCCATTCATTTGCCATCCTCACAGCCCACATCCCTAAGATTCATCGTACGAACAGACACAAATACAAACCGGAGATTCACTGACTGTCAAAGCATGTGGTACATATATTTACCACTAGGCGTTGCGACTGAGTCATCCCTGTTGCAACATGAATTCTCAGCATGGTGTCCTCCTCTTGTTGTGTTTCAGACCCCATGGTGGACTCATGGTTCCTCATGAGCAGTCCCATGCCAGTTCTCTCCATCCTCAGCTTTTATCTGTACTTCGTTTTGAAGCTAGGACCTCAGTTGATGGCCACGCGGAAGGCGTTCAACCTGCAAGGCATCCTGGTCGCGTACAATTTCTATCAAGTCTTGTTCAGTCTGTGGCTCTGCACAATGGTAAGTTAATTATCACAAGCGGCTGGGACCGAAAGGTCAAATTTTGTCGAGGCCGTGCCCTTACTGACCTGCACCTAATGTCCCATACGTCTGCGCTCGCTGTCGTCACTTGTTATATGTACTTTTCTTGTTCCAGCCTTTCAGAGTCGGTGCGCTGGGCTACATATTTAAACATGGCTGCCAGCCAGCAGATCAAGCCAGAAATCCATTCTCAATTGCGGTAAGTAAACCTATAATTAATCATCAGTCATTGCAATGCACCGATCACACGCCTCAAACTGTCATCGGCGATTCTCCTGCTGTAGCCGTCACTCCGAGCCCTCCACAAACGTCGTCTTATGAAGGCCGAAACGGCGTGACATTGCATCTCTCTGTCTCTCGATCAGTTCACAAGTGCAGTGGCACAAACGTTGCCCTGACGACTGAACCATGACATCTACAGGAGAAGAAATAAAATTAACTTGACACAAAAGGAGGTTACTGAAAAAAAGTTTTTTGATTTGACTCATTCGAAGTGATTTAACAACCGCGAAGTAACCGGTGTAGTTGAGTCGACCATAAACAAAACCTGGAGTCGGTAAACTCCTTGCATCCTGTAACTTGAAACGTGTCTCTCGACGCAACACGCAGAGCACAGGCGTCGTAAGGGAAGCATACACACAACGGCGCTCTGAAGCGTAAAACAAGGAATCATCAGTTTCTTTAACACTTAACGCTGCAGAAACAGCTAGCAATTCGAGAACGAGGTAACACGTTGCACTCGCGGCTTTCCCGTGGGTTTCCTCAGTCTCTGCAGCATCCTGTCGATTCATTAATCTTACTCAGTGTTACAGAACTCGTGCAGTAGGTATAACGTCGAAAAATAAACAATCATACAGAGCAGACGCACGGTGTGTCACTAAAATACGTCCAGGTTTGTAGGCATTTTTCATAAAACGTGACTGCGGTCCAACACAAAAGTCGTTTGGTATGTACCGCTCGAAATACTCCGCCATCTTTGTAGCTGTCAGTAGTGCATGCAACACGCCTGTCCAATCTTTCCAAATCCCAAGTTCCGCTTTGAATTACGTCATCACTTTTATTGTTTCAGGTGTCAAATGGAGCGTGGTGGTACTTCTTTTCGAAAATAGTTGAACTTCTAGACACGGTAAGTCTGAAGCGCGGCGGCTTACTTTTTCTCAACCCACGCCAAGGCTGTGACATTAACCAGGACCTTTAGCGATTTCCGTCCACACACGTATTCTTGCTTCAGTGTTCCAGTCTTTGGCAGATAACATCAAGAAATTCTCGATGCATCCCCTGACACCAACCATTTCAGAAATTTGTCTCGGGCCATTTACCCAATTTCACCTGACATTGATAGTCATAATAATTCAAATAATTTCATTTATCAAAACTGGACACCCCTATATATCCCATTGAAACTGGACACCCCTATATATCCCATTGAAACTGGACACCCCTATATATCCCATTGAAACTGGACACCCCTATATATCCCATTGAAACTGGACACCCCTATATATCCCATTGAAACTGGACACCCCTATATATCCCATTGAAACTGGACACCCCTAAATATCCCATTGAAACTGGACACCCCTGTATATCCCATTAAAAGTGGACACCCCTATATATCCCATTGAAACTGGACACCCCTATAAACCCCACTAAAAGTGAACAATCCTTAACATCCAACAAAAACTGCACGAGCTATTTTCACCTTTTCTTGCGATGTACGAAGCGAAGTTGATGTTTTGCATTTCTGCAGGTTTTCTTCGTTCTGAGGAAGAAGCAGAACCAGGTCACCTTTCTCCACGTGTATCACCACACAATCACTGCTCTGTTCTCGTGGGGTTACCTCAAGTTCCTGCCAGGTAACCACTTTCTGCATTCTTCGGCGTCCTCTAAGCGCCCGTGCCATTTTTCCCAGACCCAGATTAATTTTAAAGTACAGTGGTAATTATATGTACCACCACAAATTACAAAATCGTTAGAAAACATAAGTAGGGCATCCCAAAATTTGCTTAATGGAGGTAAGTAACATGACCTTCTCGCTCGAGATTGGAATCGGGGACCACGAACCGTTCGATTGAGACACAGCAGTTTCCGATGCTCTCAAAAGAAATCTCGTTCCTCCGTGAACCATCAGGCTATTTCACTATTTGTACCACGCGAAAGAATTTACATATCCGAAACTTGTAATGTTCCCAGCTCAGACAAATTCTTCGGTCAATCGCCCTTAAAAAACGTGTAAGATGCGTGCCATACGGAAGACCATAGACCTGATGATACGTTTTTCCCCGTTTCCAGGTGAGCAGGGAGTGGTGATCGGCTGCCTCAACTCCGTTGTTCACGTCATCATGTATTTCTACTACATGGTAGCAGCGATGGGGCCTAAGTACCAGAAATACATTTGGTGGAAAAAGTACATGACATGGATACAACTGGTAAGTCGCCCTTCCCTGTGACACACGCCACTTCAGTAGTTCATCACACTTATCACAAAATCTCCAGCTGTTAGATTCCCACGTGTTTTCCATCATCACCTTGGTCACCAAAATAGCTCTGTAACACGCTTACCAACGAGATACACGTGTCAGCTGTTCCAATATTTAATATTCAAGAAATAATTACTTCATGCAGACATATATAAAAAAAAAACAACAGCCTAAGATTATGATTCATCAAGTTTTTTCACTAGGCAATAAATTTGCAGTCTTTCCAAAGAAAACCGCGATCAATATATTTAAGTGAAGGTTTACCAACGAGGAAGTATACAGTCGCGAATATCCAGTTTATTAATTGATTTGTCCCTACATCCACGGACATTATGTCCGCGTAATTAATGACTCAAGGCGATATGTTCGCAGGTGCAGTTCTGCGTAATGCTCGCGTACCTGCTCTGTCTCCTGGCCTACGACTGCAAGCTATCCAAGGCACTGACGTTTTTCTTCATCAGCAATGTCGCCATATTCCTCTACCTCTTCTCAGACTTTTACCGGAAGGCTTACAAGAAGAAGGAAAAGATAGGATGAACATATGACGCTCGCAGGCAAAATCAGCTCGACTTTTGATAAACAAAACACGAGGTCAGGGGTCGGCCAGAGTTGCATACGAGTTCGTGAAAGCCTGCAAATAATTTCCCAAGATAGAGCGGTGTAATTTTTTATTTCTGTCATTAACATTCGCCATTTTCATGCGGGCTGAAAGGCGTCTCGTTCTGCAGACAGTTTCCTAAAAGACTATGACACGTCCTGTAATCTTAAGGGCTGCCACTGGCGTTTAGAGACGAACATGCTGACTTCTACCATGAAGATGGAGGAGATATGTTCTTCTGAAACGTTAGTGACGACCTACAAGTCTACATAACCCAGAGAGACAAACGTACGATCCACATTTCCACCGAAGTGGTAACTTCTGAATTCAAACGTTACCCCTACTGTAGGGACCAAACGCAGATCAGCGCCGTCCTCTATTAGGCTGCTGGAACAACAAACACTCTTCCAGCCGAAGATCCCGTTATTCATCAAAATTTATTTAAAATAAACTGTACTAAGTAACTGCTTATTTCTCACGTCAGCGTTCTAATATTTAACGGCGTGGTGCCGCATAATGATCTCTTCATGCATTAATGGTTGCTAAGCAACAAAACATGTAAAAGCATACAGATCACTTTTACACCATAAATTCGGTTATGGCCACGTAAGAAATCAGACGCGGAAAACTAAGATAAATTGAATAAGGGGTTTTGTATGCTGAATTACACAACGTATAATTTAAACACGAGGGATGCAGATACTTCAATTAGGAGAACAAGCTCCACACTATCCTAGGTCCACTGTCGTTGGTCAAATACGATACTGGGAGTCAAAAACATATTAAGCACAAGGCTGAGGGAGTCCTTACGCAAATGAGCAACACTTACTTTACCACTGAGGCACACAAATGCAAATAAAATTCCTTGCAACGGAAAATGCCTGTGATTTGAATGCAAGCAGGTTCAATTACAACCTCCACGGCAAAGACCGAACGACATTCCACAGAATCATTAAATTATTGGCCCTACCGTGACTCGAAACGTCGGCGAATAGATCGATTTGAAAGGCGAACGGTCGATATATTCACGACCTGAAGACGCTCCAGCTTCCCAGGTCGTAGTGCGTCTAAAGTTCAATACAGAATTTTAACCTTTCCAGAAACATCCTTAAAACTTACGAAACACAGATTAAGATACACACGACACTTGAACTCACTGTAAATAACATTTCTTCCCCCAAAATTACATACTTCTGAACTAAAACTGCAGCGGACTATGGACTAAAACGTTTACGACGAGCAGTTAGCACGATTATCACGAATAAGACCTCTACATTCGTTTATCACAAGCCGAGCCCTTGCAAGAAAATAAGTAGACCTCTATTTATTCACCAAGTACCTTCCGGTTACCAAATAATGTGCCTAGAACGAGCAAATGCTGTTCAGACCAGTCGTCTCAGAGCAGACGACGAGAGGAAATACGAATTCAGCAGTACTTCGCTAATTGTCACAACCTCGTGAAGGAAAGACTAAATAGAACGCCTCTTACTGTGTCTCTAGACAATTTAGAAATCTTTAGAACCTCTAGAAAGTTACCTGCGGCGCAGTGAATTATATTAAATGTTTTGAGCTTTGTGTACCCGCGACAGACATGTTGATTTTCCCCTCCAGCACCGAGCCATCGTACATCAATACGCAACGTGAAGAAACTTCATGGACCAGAAGAAGCTGACAGAACAGTCAGATAGTCACAAAATCCCCCTCCCCCCTCCACCAGATTAATTTGGGGATCCCGAAGGTTCATTGCCGCCACTGACTCCAATTACCAACCATACTCATACAGTCCACAACTTCCCACCATGTATCCCAAAGATCCATTTTAATATTATCACCATGTCTATGACTATGCATTCTTAGTGGCGTCTTCCTTTCAGGCTTCCCAAAAACGAATTTGTTGCTTTACTCACCGAAAAGAACGCAGTGTCACAGCCGGCCTCTTCCGAACACATTGCACCCATGACCTTGCATGTTGATGTGCTAATAATGAACTGTATTACCAATAATTTATTTCATCAAATAAAATTATTTGTCTTTTAGATACAGCTTTCTTAAAAGCTTCCTGATTCCTCCACCAATCATAAACACGTAAGTCCCTGAATTTATGCTTCGTATCATTTCTTCAATATTTGCCTGATCAAAAGTGACATGTTGTGAAAGATGTGGTTTTCACGGCGGTAATAATGATGATGATGATGATGATGATGTCCTGCGTGTAGGCGCCGTTTAGACTCGTCAGTAGGAACCAACGTTCAGAAAAAAATACTATCTCCATCTTCAGACCTGAAGTCAGAAGTCACCACTGAAGATGGAGACACTATGTTTCTCCTAAATTTGTTCATCAACTCACGAGTCTACACCACGCAGAAACCCATAACATCATCATCATCATCATCATCATGATGTTTGTTTCAGTCTGAATATTCCTCACCGTCACAGCGGATCGTGGCATTCAGTCCTGTGTCATTTTAAATCGAGTTCACATATGCAACCGCCCTTCCGCTGACAGTTTTTCTTCTCACTCTGGTTGCCACGGGGTCAAACCCAGTAGCGTGCCCGGTTTGGTTGCGGTTACAGCTTGATATAACTTCGGATAATGCGGAAGGATATAAGGAATAATAATTGGTGTAGGGTTTGTAGGCGAGCAAGATTGTCCGACTCTCAGGGATTATACGGGGACTGTGATAGTTGGAGCGGCCGTGCGCCAAGGACGTGAAATCTGTGGGAATGATCAAATGCAGACCACACCGAAGTCACCTTGGAAATATTCCACCTTTTAATTCCTTTCAATAATTTATGCTGATTTTTGGGCAGCGCGATGATTCGGCTGTTGTATTTGTACTTGTAATTTGATGAATCGAGGAGAAACTGTCTGCTTGCCTTGAAGAACCGAACTTTT